TGAGAAAGATGTGTGCATTGATTGTATTCAGTAGAGGTGCAATGGTTCATCACTGATCCGTGATCCGTTCGGTTCAATGTCTTCGGTTCGGTACAGACGTGATCCGCGGTTTGATTTATGAAAAAAAAGTTGTGCGCATGTTGTTCATTCCACACACAGCGTGGTCACGGCAAGCAGAGGAACGGAGATGCTTGAAAGCCCCGCGTCATTTAAATCCCCAGTATGAGAGCATTTTGGCTTCACTGTAACTATACTGATAATTAATATTCGACAAAACTGTCACGATGTGTAAGCACTGTGGCACAAGAAAGACATGAGTGAAAAAAAGCGTCTCAACGACCGCTTATTGTCGCGGCATTTAAGCAGCCCCTTTACGCACAGTCAGACCTTGGACGTCCCGCGGAACCTATAAGAGATCCATGAGCGGAACCGCTCACTTCATCACCGCAGACTGGGAGATGAAGAGTCTGGCACTGCAGACACGCCCCCTCTACAACAGTCACACAGTCACACAGCGCAGGTACTGACACAGCAGCGGAGGAATGGAAGACAAAGGCCCAGTACCTTAGTCACAATTGATAATGCCAAAAATTAAATAAATGCATTGAATGAGGCTGGACTGGGCCCAGAATGGACCGCTTCCTCGGGAGAATCAGGAAGGTGGTTTAATATATGAGGGTAAATGACCTCATAAAGTGCCTTCTTATGTTGCACTTTGTGTTGTTTTTCATTAATTATGTTAAATAGACATAATTGGATGGATGGAATATGCCTTCCATCCATCCATCCATCCATTTCCTTCCCCTTATCCATTTCTAGGTCAGGGGGGGGCAGTCAGAGCAGGTGCCGAGTCCACATGAGCTGTGTTTATTAAAAAGACAACACTTTTTTTGAAAAATGAACCAAACCGAGGTACGAACCGTACCGTGATTTTTTTTCAAACCGTTGCACCCCTAGTATTCAGTACAATGATATTGTGTAAATATACATTTTATGTTGGACCCGTCTTTAGGATGCAGACAAAGCCCAGCCTGACCTCAGCTTACCTGAATTGGGCAGGTCTGAAGCTGATTGCCACGACTCTCCTATTGCGAGCCAGGTAAAGACAAGTGAACAAGTTGACATGTAGAGTGCTTGATTTAGTCACATTAATGTTGTCTGTTTAGTGTGCTGAAGATGTCCAGAATTCACACATCATGACTGTCTTCATGTTTGAATTCAACACTACGTCTGAACTAGGGCTGGGCGATATAAACGGTATAAGCGGTATGCAATATAAATTTGGCCCACGGTAGAGATTTTTGTTATACCGGCATATTGAGATAGGTCATTATGTCATCAAAAAGCAGCCAGCAGAAAGCACCAAAACAAACCGGCATTCAGCAGCATTAGCCTAGCATTAGCCTAGCACTATGGGACACCACTGGAAACAGCAAACAGCAGCACAGCATTCACACCGTGTTTCTGTCTCTGTATTGTTGTCACAGCGGCCCCAGCAGAGGTAAATACACACACAGTAATCACAGTTTAAGCGTTCACCTTTTGGCCAATCAGTGTCAAAGCGGCGTAGGCTCGAAGCGCCAGCGTGAGCCAAAATAGATCCATGCGTGTGCCGTGTCCGCAGCATCATCACAGTTTGGTAAAGTTAGCGGACCTCCGCGGTCAATAGCGGACCTCCGCGGCCAATAGCTCACGAAAGCTACTTTAAACAAAATTAATTGTGCCAAAATAACCATTTACATCAATTGTTCAAATCCAATGTGCTGTTTTAATGAACATAAATCCATTGAATCATTCAGTTCACTGCAAGCGCAGAGAAAAGCGCTTAGGGAGCGTCAACAAATGGCAAGACCAGCTTTGTAAACAAACAATAGCTTTTACTAAAGCCATGTACCTACACAAAACTCTCAGACACTACAAAAAATGACCATGTCTAACTGCTACAGGCTTTGATTTCAACATTTGTGAGTGCTTTTATTTTGTAAATGAATACATATGTTTTTCTTTTCTTTTAAATTGCTTTTACAGTAAATGGTCTTTACTGTAACTCACATAAATAATGTATGTTACAGCATTTGTCTCACAACTCAAAAAATATATATACTAGATTCTATTATATAAATAAGTAACAATCTTGACTATTTTATGCAAGAACCTGCTAGACCTATATTGAAATTCACACACCAAATTATACCGCAATATATACCGTCTACCGTCTGTGACCCAAATTATACCGCAATATGAATTTTAGGCCATATCGCCCACCCCTAGTCTGAACTGTATTCATTGATATCAAAATTAGTTTAAACTACAATCTGGTTTCACTACACTGGAGAGGTCCATTACACACATCTCAGCTGTAGTATAAAAGTAGATTCTGGTTTCACTACACTGGAGAGGTCCATTACACACATCACTAACATTATGTAAATGCTTAATTTATGAATATTTGTAATAATAATAATTTGTAATAATTTAAAACAACTGAATTATGTTTTTTGCTCATACAGGGTAGTGAGTAACCCTAACCCAGCTTCTCGAACCCAGCAGGAACATGTGATGCCTCCAATGCTACGAAGGACCAAAAGCATTCAGGTTTAAAAAACATGGTTGGCCTGAGAAAATTACAATATGTCTAATATTTTGTTTCTTTCAATAGTGGGGGAGCCAAACTGAGTATGATTCAGAAGAATTGTGTGGCTTTACTTCAGACGAAAGTGAAGAATATATCCCAGAGACTGATAACAGCAGTGATTCTTGTGATTCAATAGAGAGTGAGATTCTTTCAGTGGATGATACAGAAATAACCACATGCCCAGCCTTGCATTCAAAAATCTTGCCTTTGAGCAGTTCTACAGAAGTTATAGGCGGAAACCTAAATTCGGCAAGAGGAAGGTCTCCCACAAGAAAATCAAATAAAACTAAAAAACAACCCAAGAAAAGAAAATCAAGTCCACCACAACATAGTAAGACACAATCTGCAAAATATCAACAAGAAAAAGAGGACCAGCCAAAACTTCCAAACAGTTCTGTCCCTGTAGTCGATGCATGCCATGATTCGCTGTCCGTGCTAGCAGTTTGCAAAAAAGAGGATGGTTCACGCATGTTCAATAAGAAACAATACTGCTTATTCTGCAAGACGGCAGTGCTCAAAATATCCAGGCACATGGAGCGTGCTCATAAAAATGAACGTGAGGTTGCTCGGGCTCTGTCTTTTAATAAAGGATCCAAAGAGAGGAGGATGCATCTAGAACTTTTGCGAAACAGGGGGAACTTTTCCCATAATGTTGATGTGTTGAAAACAGGTGCGGGACAGCTTATTCCTCGCATGCAACCCCAAGGAAATACACAGGCTCAGGATTACCTGCACTGTATCCATTGTCAGGGCCTCTTCAGAAGAAAAAGGCTCTGGAAACATGTATTGCAATGTAAGTTCAAGCCCAGTGGGAAACCAAATCGGGGTAAAACCCGTGTTCAGGCCCTTTGATACCAGCTGGCGGAGGGACAGCAAATGCACAAAGAGGACTTCTGGAAACTGTTGACCAACATGATACAAGATGAAGTTTTTTCCGCATTGAAAGAAGACAAATGTATCCTAGAGTTTGGTGAACATCTATTTCACCGTTTAGGCCATGACAAGGGGAAACATGAATACATTCGCCAAAAAATGAGGGAGTTGGGAAGGCTTCTCTTATGCTCCAGGAAAAATACTAAAATCAAAACAATTGAAGACCATGTTCTGCCTGCCAATTTCATGCATGTTGTGGAGTCTGTGAAGATTGTAGCTGGTCATGAAAAAACAACCAACACATTCAAGAGCCCAAGTTTGGCACTCAAACTAGGACACAGCTTGACTAAAATATCAATGTTAGTCGAGAGTCGTTCGAATGTTCATAACAACTATGTTGCAGCAAAAAGTGCCCGCACATTCCGCCAAATATATGAAGCGAGATGGCATGAAATGGTATCCGCAGCATCTTTAAGAACACTCCAAGAGGCTAAGTGGAATGCCCCTTTATTGCTTCCATTTACAAGAGACGTTCAAACATTTCATTCTTATTTAGACATTGAAAAGCAGAAAATTCACTCCTTGTTATCTTCTGGGGCATCAGCCCAGACTTGGACACGACTGGCAAAAGTTACTTTGACACAAATTGTACTCTTCAATAGGCGAAGATCAGGCGAAGTATCAAAGATGCCTCTGTCGGCCTATTTGTCCCCAAATAATAGAGATTCTCTTGAAGACCTGGGTGACGCACTTTCAGATCTGGAAAAAAAGCTTTGCCAGCACTTTCGAAGAATCGAAATTACAGGAATAAGAGGGAGAAAGGTCTCCATCCTTTTGACGCCCTCAATGCAGGAGTCATTGGATCTGCTCAACACCAAACGGGAGATTTGTGAGGTCCCTGTGAAAAATGGCTACCTGTTTGCAAGACCAAATGCTATGACT